CCGATGCATGGGCTTGGCGCCCGCTCGCCGTGTCCACGCCTCCTTGATTCTTTGACATCTTCTTGGCCTCTGACGCTTTGGGCTTCCGACGGAATGGCCCGCGCAGCAAGAGCAGCGGGTTCTTGGATCGGCTGCCCGGCACGAGCTGCATCGGGCTGCACGATCCGCGTCGGCGCGTGCCCGACGGGGGTGGCCGGAGTCGCAGCACGCCCCTTTCTTATCCGTTTGCGGCGCGGGGCCCGAGCTCGGGGAGGCAGGGGAGGGTGGAAGCCTGGGAACACGCGTCCCTCTGCCTCCAGAGGACGGAGGAGGGGGTGGGGGAGGTGGAGGAGAGGGAGAAAGGTCAGCGGCAACCCGATCGGGGGAGAGGCTCAGAAAGGGGGGAGGCATCGCCCCCCAATCGCCCCTTTGTCGCCAGCCGGGGTTTGAGATCCCGCCCCGGCCAGGAACGTGTGAGTTTGCTATCCCCGTCGAGTCGGCGATGTATCGCCGATTCTAAAGTCGATGTTCCCCGTGAGCCAGTTTCCCCCCGTCGCTCCCCCACGAACATTTTTGGGATGGTCCCTGTGGGTGTGCAAGGGACATAAAGTGGGGCTGGTGGGAGAACGAACGCGTATACATACATGTACACACACGCATGTATATACATGTACATACACATAGGCATACATATGTTTATGTAGATGTATGTATATGCTTTCACATATATACACATATAGATATAGATATGTGCATGCACATACAGACATGCATGTATGTAATTGTTGTGCATATAGATATCCAAGACCTCGTCTACAGAAACGCGCCCCCTTCCCCACAAAACCAACAGCCACGGCAGAGGGGGGGCAGCTCAGAAACAAACGCATCAATGTTATGTGCGTGCCCGAGGAACTCAAAAGTTAGTAGTCGCAGAAAAGGCAGGACCATAGCATGCTATGTTTGTTGTTGTTGTTGTTGTTGTTGTTGTTGTTGTTGTTGTTGTTGTTGTTGTTGTTGTTGTTGTTGTGGTTGTGGTTGTGGTTGTGGTTGTGGTTGTGGTTGTTATTTAATCGCTTCGCTCATTCCGCCGGCCCATACAGTCTCATGTCTGCCGTTTGCCCGAGGGCCTGGTGTCAATGCGGCGCTTTGGGGGTTCCTGGGGCCGCTTGGGGGACTCCTGGGGCGCTCGGGGGGGCATTTGGGGGGCCTCCTGGGGCCGCTTGGGGGACTCTTTGGGGGCCTCCTGAGGGCCTCGTGGGGGCCTCTTGGGGCCTCTTAGGGGCCTCTTGGGGCCTCGTAGGGGCTTCTTAGGGCCGAGGGCTCGAAATGTTGTTTCGTGTTCCCTCTCTGGGGCCCCTTTGGGGGCGTTCTTGGGGCCCTCTTGGACCGTCTTGGAGGCTTCTTGGGCCGTCTTCGAGCCCTCTTGGGCCATCTTGGGGCCCTCTTGGGGGCCTCTTGGGCCCTCTTGGGGCGATCTTGGGGGCCTCTTGGGCCGTCTTGGGGCGTCGGGAAGCCGAACAGGTGGAAGCTCCAAAATCTCTCAAAAACCTAAGGAAAAACAATGAATTTTGCCTCCGGGGGCCCTCTTGGGAGTGCTCTTGGAGGCCTCTTGGGGCGTCTGGGGGCTATCTTGGGCGTCTTGGAGCGATCTTGTGGCATGTCGGACCCCTCGTGTACCATCTTGGGGGCCTCTTGGGGGCCTCTTGGCCTTTCTTGGGGCTCTCGGGGACGTCTCGGAGCCCTGTTGGTGCGCTCATGGAGCGCTCCTGGAGCGCTCTGGGGGACTCCTCCCGGGACTCTCTCAGGACCTTGCCGGGGTACTTTCCGCCCGGGGACCCCCAGGGGCCGCCCCGCGCGCGCGAACTAGAGAATTGTTAACCAGTTACCGGAGATCTTAGCACGCCTCTGGCCCGTTGGGCCGGCGAATTGTTGTTGTTGTTGTTGTTGTTGTTGTTGTTGGTGGTGGTGGTGGTGGTGGTGTGTGTGTGTGTGTGTGTGTGTGTGTGTCCGCCTGCCACCGTTAGGGTTCCGCTGTATACTCCAGGCCACTCTGGCTTCTATTGTGGACGAGACAGCACCCCCCACGTGCTCGCGCGCGGACAGTTCTGTGTCGTTTCGAGAAGAAAGCGTGCAACGTAACCCGTGTTAGCTTGAACATCCAATCGGTCACCACTAAGAGTTCATTTTAGCCTCCAGGCAAATGTGGCATTTATTCGATGCTGGACATTCCAAAACGCCCCGCACGCGCGTGGGTGACACGTGTCACCCGCGCGTCCGTCGGCTACATTGAATGATTAGGGTGTATCACAGGCTCCACGCCAACACACCGACTGACTGCTTCTATCGTAGACAATAAAGCAGAGGCCATGCTAATTTCAAAAGCCAATCAGTCACCGTTACAGGCTCGCTTTGGTTTTCAAACCAACATGGCGACATCATCTTTTGGAGACCACACTGACCTCCCACACGAGCGCGCGGGTGACACGTGTCACCCGCTCGGGTCCGCCGGCCACCGTTCAGGGTTCATTTTGGTTCCAAGGCCAGCATGCTGGCTTTTATGGGTAGCACAAAACTTTCCACGCGCGCGAGGGACAGGGCTGCCACGCGCGCGGCGGCTCCGGGGCACTCTGCGCGGGCCTGTCCCTCGCAGGTAGCTGCCGACGCAGAGTGGCCCAGGGCCGCCGCGCGCGCGGCGGGCCGGCCCCGCGCGCGCAGGGGGAGGAGGAGAGGGAGGAGAGGAGGAGGAGGAGGGAGGAGGAGAGAGGAGGAGGAGAGGAGGAGGAGGAGCGAGGGAAGAGGAGAGGAGGAGAGGAGGAGGAGGAGGAGGAGGAGGAGGAGGAGGAGGAGGAGAGGGGGAGGAGGATGAGGAGGAGGAGGAGGAGAGGAGGAGGAGGAGAGGAGGGAGGAGGAGGAGGGAGGAGAGGAGGAGGAGGAGGAAGAGGAGAGGAGGAGGAAGAGAGGAGGAGAGGAGGAGGAGGAGGAGGAGGCGGAGGAGGAGGAGGAGGAGGAGGAGGGCACAGGATGGCCCAGGGACGGCGCGCGCGCCGCGGCCGTGCGTGTTGTGATGACACGAAGGTCGGGGTTTGCGGGCGACTCGCTGTCGGAGAATGGTTTCGACCGTCTTCGCCCCGTCATGAGATGTCGCATGACCTCCTTGGAATGGCTTTGGGGCTGTGTAGGCGACGTCTTGGGGGGGGGGGCGAGTGTCCTTGGCCCCAGTTGCGCCGTTCAGGGTTGCCAGATCGCTGTCACGACACGCAAATCTTGGCTTGCGGGCTCGTCGGGGAGATCGCTGAACAGCCTTGGGGCATTGACCGGCTTTCTGACGAGATGTCGAGGCCGTAGTTTATTGGTCTTTGGATGTGTGGCACATTTTCTGTGCGTGCCTGGCCGAGCGCGTGCGGGAGTGGCGAGAGATGGTGGAGGACGGGACAGCAGTTGCCTTGAAAAAGACTGCATGCGCTGTCACGCCGGCTGGCGGTGCACATGCAGAAGAAACGAAGAATGCCAGAGGACGCAGGGCAAACTGCCTTGATTCACAACGCACGGGCTGTCACGCCTGGTGTCGGAGCACTTGCAGGAATATCCAGGGAAGACGAAGGAAGGAGGGGACTCAGCCTTGACACTGAATGCATGCGCTGTCACAACAGCTGGCGGAACACGTGCAGAAACCCCTCCTGGTCGCACTGGCATGGCCTCCAGTTCGATGACTCTTCCTCGATTGCTGAAAAACTTTCGAGCCCAATCCAGCCTTTGCGCCTTTTGGACGGACGCATGCTGGAGATGCGGTTTTGGGCGTCTTTGGGGGCCGTTCTGGAACCCTCTTGCGGGCTTGCATGGTCATCTTGGGAGTCTCGTCGGGCCGTTTTAGGGGCTTCTTGGGCTGTCTTAGGGCCTTCTCAAGTCCGTGTCGAGACCGTCTTGGGCACATTTTGTGCAGTCTTTGAGCTGTCTTGGGCGGTTGCAAGCCAGGAAGAGCGAAACGTACAACAATTGTTCAAATGCCTCAAGAATATCAATGTGCTTAGCCTCATCAAAGCCTCTTTTGGGCGCGAAGGTGGCTCTCCTGGGGTGCCTTGGAGACCTCCTGAGCCTTGCCGAGGCCATCCTGAGCGCTCTTGGTGCCCCTTTGGGCCGTCTTCGATTCATTGTGGTTCCTCCTGGGCGGTGTTGGTGGTATCTTAGGCTGTCTTGAAGGCCTTTCGGCCCGTCCCTGGAAGCCTCTTGGAGGCCCCCGGGAGGTGGTATCAAAGAAAGGGGCGAGATGGTCGCGAGGTGCCCAGCCCCCAGGCGAGGATCGTAGTCTGAAGTTGCTCTGTCGTCGGAGGCCCCCGTCGTCGCCGCGGCGGGACGCACCTCGAAACGACCTTCTTTCCGAGGAGGTGCAGGACGATTACGGTGAGGGAGATGAGGAGGCCGAAACATCAATATCATATGGAACGGCAATTGTGCCGCCTCGAAACCGTCTTCTCGGCGTTTCGGGAATCTCTTTGGGCCGTCTGGAGCTCACAGCACCGTCCGCGCTTAGGGTCCTTGGTGTTTGGAGCTCGTTAAGTGATGAAGCGCAAGAACTGGGCGAGCATCTATTCATTTAGTGTCTCCGGGCCTTCTCGGGTGTCCTCTTGGGGCCTTTTTGGGCCACTTCACGCTCCCTGCAGTCCTGGGACCCGCTAGGGGCGTCTTGGAAGGGTTTGGCTGTCTTGGGGCCTTGTGGAGGTCCTCTTGGAGGGTGCTGGGGGCCCCTGTAGCCATTTTGGCTCATGATGCCTCTGCCCCAGCGGTGTCCAATGGATACCGCTGGACCGCGGAGAGATCTGGAGATTTCGGGGTCGGCGCCCTTACAACTCACCTGACCCGAGCAGGTGTGCGTGCCATGGCGGCGTAGGCGCCACCGTGGCGCGTCGGGTGCAGTGGGAAAAGCAAGTGGTCCTGCAGCTGTGGGGCAGAGGACAACTACGCGACGAGGAAGCACTGCCGTGGGGGCGGGGCTAAAGCACCACGGCGGCCGTCCGCCTTCAAAGGAGCGCTGCTGGGCCCGACCAAGCGGGAGGTGGCCATGCAGAAGAAGCTGGACGTGCTCACGCAGGAGCTCACGGCGCTCAGGGGCAGCGGCAAGGTCGGCAAGGAAGAGACTGTGGACGGGGCGAAGGAGGCACAGCAGGTCGACGTGGCGAGGCTCTACACGTGGGCGCAGGCGTGCAAGAACGAGTGGGGGGAAAACTCGGAGGAGTACAAGGCAGCTTTCGCGAAATACCAAACGGCCAGGGCTGAGAAGGACAATGCCAAGCCGCACTCCGTGCAACTCACGCAGGCGAAGCGCGCCAGGGAGAAGTTGGAGAAGGAGGTCGAGGCGAGCGCAAACGACGCCAGCTGGTACGAGCAGCAGCTGGAGGAGGCGCGAGCCAAGTATGAGAAGAAAAAGGAGCAGCTGCAGATCGCGACGGCCAAGGAGCAGGAGTTCAGGGTGCAGGACTGCGGAGTCCGTGAGTCGCCCGAGTTCCTTAAAACCATGCAGAGGCAGTTCGAAGATGCGATCGACGGCAGCGGAGTCACCAAGGAGGAGCACCAGCAGGTGTTCGACCTGTTCGGCAAGGTCATGGCCAATGCGAAGCAGGAGGACGTGGACATGGCTCCTGCAGGTGATGCTGATATGCCTCGGGCACATCGGAGCGCAGGAGCACCAGGAGTACCGGGAGAAGCAGATGAGCAACCACTACCCGAGGAAGCAGAACTCCCAGAGCTCACTGCCGAAGAGCAGGAATGGCTCAGGGCAGGCGGTGTACCAGAAGAAGCTACACCCGATCAGCGGAAGCGCTGGCAGGAGGTGTGCGCCAGCCTGGCCGAGCAGGCGGCCAAGAGACAGCGGCGAGGGTAGTAAGCGCAACAGGAAGCCCCAGCATGATACGGCCACCCTGTGTACGTACAACGGAACAGGTTGGGGCACCATCAAGGAAACTATCATGGAGGAGATGCAGGGTCTGCAGTGCTATGCAGTGCAGGAGCGTCACCTGAACACGGACAAGCTCGCGGTGCCCACGCAGAGCACGAAGGCAGAAGGTTGCCTAATGGGCGGCGCTGCGGCGGTGGCCACAATGGGACCCAATGGCGAGCCAGGCGCGTCGGCGGGCGTGGCTGTTGCGGTGCCGAAGCGAGTTGGAATGATGGACTTTTTTCGACAAAGATGACTGGGTCATTTCCCCGCATGCCAGCCCAGGCAGGGCGGCAGCGGCGTGGCTCTCAGTAGGCAGAGGCATTGCGCTCGCCTCCTTGCACCTGTGGACAGCGGAGGGCATGACGTACAGGAACACGCAGCTGATCACGCATGTGTTGGGAAAGGTGCAGAGTTGGGGCGCCCCGTGGGCCATCGGGGGCGACTTCCAGGTGGCGCCAGATGTTATGGCGAACGTGGCGAGCGTTCAAGTTGCGAAAGCCACAGTGGTCACGGCCAACGCAGCGTGCGGAACCTGCAGGCACGCGTATGGCAACAACGAGATCGACTACTTCGTGGTGGCAAGCTCGGTGGTCGCGCAGGTGGAGCGCGTCGCGGTGCAGGAGACGTTGCCTGCAGCACCGCATAAACCAGTGGGGCCCGCGATCAAGCTGAATGCGGAGCAGCTCAGGGTGAGGGTGCTCGAGAAGCCCAAGGAGTTGCCAGAGGTGCCGATCGGGTGCGTGCCCGATCCACCGAGATACGCGGACGTTAAGGAGTTTAGCACACAGATGGCGGCGAACACCGAGTGGACCAAGTACATGCAGGTGCTGGAAAAGGAGGCTTTCCAGGTGCGAGGCGCGAAGTGGGAGGCGAGTGACCCGCGCGCAGGCAGGGCGGACGAGCCCAAGTGGCGAGTCAAGCCCCTGACCTTCGGGGGTGCAAACGTACCGACAGCGGCTAGGGCAGCGACCTGGTGGAGATGGGCTACGCGGACCTTGCGCAGCTTGCAGGGCGCGCACCAACGGTGGCGGAAGGCAACGGAGAGGGGCCCTGACGAGTACCAGAAGCGGAAGCGCGAGGTTCACCGCGCGGAAAGGCTCTTCCAAGTGCGCCCCGCAAAATGAAGTACATCAGCGCGACGGACCAGGGCATCTGGCAGGCCAGGTGCGGCATGATCGTCGCGGGCCATCTGAGGGGCGTCAGCAGGGGCGAGACCTTCCAGGCCTAGATGAAAGAAGCGGAGAGCAATATGAAGGCAGCCGGTCAGCAGCTGCTCAAGGACAGGAAGGCCAAGTGGGCTGACAAGCTGGAAACCGCGGCGGCAGGTGCGGCAGGAAGGCTCCACAAGATGAGCAAGGCAGCTGCGGTGTGGAGGCCTAGGCGTGCGGATGCGATGGCCTAGGCAGCGGGCCCCATGGAGGCGGCGGGGTTCACTTTAGCTGAGTGGAAGGGCGTCTGGCGGGTTGGCGAGGTCTTCCATGAGGAACCAAGGCCTTGGGAGTACGATCCCAGGGATGAGCTGGACGACTACGCCGAGGAGGGCGCCAGCAGGCTAAAGGTGGTGGCCCGCACCTTCAGGAAGCGCACAGTTCTTGGGGTGGACCGCTGGCACCCGTCAATGCTGCAGGGAGCGAGTTGCGAGGCGTACCGCAAGCTGCTGGACATAATGCGGGAGGTGGAGCGTACGCCGAGGTGGCCGATCCACATGGGCACGGTGCTGTTCTTCATCACCCCGAAGGCCTTCGCGACAGATATGGTTATAGGGTCCTGCCCACCACCATGCGTATATGGGAGATCATGCGGAAGCCATGCATGACTAGGTGGGCGAAAGAGAACCAGAGGAGCTGGGGCTGCACCAGCTTCGGCAAGGCGGCGGGGGACGCTGCATGGCACGTGCCGCTGAGGCACGAAATGGATGATCCAGAGGGCCAGGGCGAGGAGCTGGAGGCCACGACCACGGCGGTATTGGACCTGATCAAGGCCTTCGAGTGGGTTAGCTTGTTTGCCTTATGGGAGGCGGGCAAGCAGCTGAATTGCAACACGGGGGTGTTGGCAGTGGTGTGCTCGTACTTTGCGATGGCCAGAAGGCTGATTGTCGGGGAATCTGTGTCTAGCGCCGCCAGCGCGGTAGGCCCGATCATTGCAGGGGGTGAGTTTTCAGTGTGCTTCCTGAAGCTGGTCATCCAGTCCGCGGTGGGCGGCCGAGTTGTGGAGAGGCCGCGGGCGAAATTGCGTATGTATGTGGGCGATCTTTGTGTGCGGCTACGCCGGCAGCAGCAGCAGTGCATCGTGCAGGACTTCAGCGACACCATTGGCGCCTGCTTCGAGGGCTTCGGCAAGCTGGGCCTGAAGTTCTCGGTGGGCACCCAGGGCGAAGGAGCCGTCGTGGCCAGTGCCAAGTGGGTGCGCAAGGCGGCGGCGAAGGAGATGAACGCGCGTGGGCTGCCCGTGGTGCGCGCGTGCCCGTATCTGGGCGTCGACCTCGTCGCGAACGGCGCGGCAGCGAAGACCAAGTGCGGCAAGCGATGCAAGACCGTGCTGGGCAGAAGTATGCGGCTTGCGAATCCCGAGGGCGGCGGCCGCAAGATGGCGAAGGGCGCGGCCTTGGTTTTTAAGTGCGGCCTTAAGCGCTCGGTTCTGTACGGGTGCACTGGGCATGCCAGACCATCAACTACGACGAACTCGGCGAGAAGCGGGACGAGCACTACCAAGAGGGCGTGGAGCCAAGAGCCTCACGCTGCAGCTGGCGCTGGCGAACGAGGAGCCCACCTACGAGGCTACCGGGGCGCCCGTCGTCCGATGGGCAAGGGCAGTATGGGGGGAATCGTCAAGAGCTGGGCGGCCAGGTGCGGATCCCGAGCACGCCTTGGACAACGCGGTGGAATTGCTACTGAAGGCGTGGAAACGCCAGCAGCAAGGGGTAGGCATGAAGCCCGTGTGGGCCAGGGTACGTGGGCCTGCGGGGGCGGTGATCATGTCGCCCAAGCGTGCGCAGTGGGCGTGGCCAGCCTGGCATACGGTTATCACCAAGGACGGATGCGAGCTGGACATGGGGGAGGTGTGCCCCATGGATGTCGCGACGATGCTGCGGAAGGACGTGCAGCAGAAGCTGTGGCAGGACTGGGCGGCGGCGGACGAGTGCGCAAGCTCACGGCCGGCGCCGATGGTAGCCCCAGCGGTGGCGCAGCTGAAGGCGCGGGGCTTCCCGACGCACGCCAAGAGCGCAGCGAGGAAGGCTTTCATCGGCGGGGGCTGGACCATGAGCAAGTTTTGCGAGCGCAACATCGTGCCAACGGACATCTGCTTGGCGTGCGGGGAGGCGGTGGGCACCCCGCACCGCATGTATTTCAAATGCCAGGCCTTGAGGGAGCGGCGCTTGCGGGCGCAACATGAGTGCCAGACGGTGGCAGCACAGCAGGAGGACAGCTTGCTATGGACGCGTGGGCTGGTGAGGCACCCAGAAGCGGATTGGAAGTTCGAGGGGGTCGACGAGGGCCGGTACATGTGCCAGACCGTGGAGGGCGATGAAGACTACTTCACAGGTGACATCGTGTGCGACGGGTCCAAGATAGGTTACAGTGAGTGGGCGCAGACGGGCTGGGCGGCCATGTCGATCAACGAGAACGGGATGCCGCAGTACCAGATGTGGGGCCGCTGCCGTGCGCGCTCCCAGTGCACAGGAAGATAAAGCGCGCGGAGATATGGGCCTTTTACCAGGTACTGGAGAAGAAGCTCGGCGAAGGCAACATATACACTGATCACAAGGGCATCACCGAGGGCCTGCAGAAGGGCGAGCGATGGTGCATCAGCTGGAAGCGACCGCACGCGGACATCTGGAAGCGCATCTGGCACAAGGTGCGTGACCTCGACCTGGATGTGAACGGGGTTTATTTACCACGTCGAGGCGCACAGGTCCAAGGCGAAGATCGAGCAGCTCGCGGGCGCGGAGCTCAAGATCGCGAACGGCAATGCTGAGGTGGACCTGCTAGCCAAGGCTGGGGCCGAGCTGGATGCGAACTACGGGAGGCGCCAGGCGGTGGAGGAGTTGGCTGTCCGTGCACGCTGGGCGGGGCAGAACATCGGCTGGCGGCGCCAGCAGATGGAGGGCGAGTGGCCAGACGTACCGAAGCGAGAGCCTGGACGACCACTACGCCGACAGCCAAAGCCGCTAGTCACCCTGACGAGGCACGAGGTGAAGGAGTACGGAGGCTGGGCGTGGTGTGTGCGGTGCGGTAGGCGGGCCGCTACAAAGCGCATGAGGAGGAAGCTCTGGGAGTCGGACTGCCGGCCGCCGCCGTGGACTTCAGCGGGCACTCGCAATGCAGGCAGGGTGGGCTCCCTGGAGGCGAGCGTCGCGGTGGTGATTGCTGCAGCCGCTGCAGCAGCGGCAAGGGCGCAGCCTGCAGGAGAACAACCGCGACGAGCGCCAACAGCACCTGGGCAGGAGGGCGGACCGCGTCAGCACAGAGTGGAGGTGCATGGGCCGTACGTGGTGTGCACGGTGTGCGGTGCCTACTCTGCGCGGAGGCGGGCGGGCCTGGGGACTGCCTGCGCGGGGCCGCTGGCAAGGGGGGGCCTCAGCGTAAAGGATGACGCCAAGCGCAAGAAAAGGGACAGGATTCTGGCGGAAAAGAATCCGCAGACGGGGAAGCCGCTGGAGGACGGGCTCCAGCTGCCAGTTCGACGAGGGTGAGTACTACGGGATCTTTGAGAAGATCTGAGTTCTTGCCTGTTGGCGGGATCCGCTACAGGCATGGGGGCGTTTCAAAAATGGCTCTGGGGGCCCTCTGGGACCTCTCTCGAAGCCAGTTGGGGCCTTCTGGTCCTTGTTAGGGCCGTCTTGGAGCGCCTTTGGGCCGTCTTGGGACTCTCACGGGCCGTCTTGGGGCCCCCTTTTGGAGCCGCTTGGGCTGTCTTGGGTCGATTTCTGGGGCCTCGTGGGCTTTTTTTTGCCCGTCGGAAGCATGGAAAAGTCAGAGCACGGAAACCCTTGATTTTCAAAACCGCAGACATTTTTTTCTTTCGCCTCCTGAGGGCCTCGTGGGACTCCTTTTCAGGGCCTCTTTGGCCGTCGTGAAGCCCTCCAGGGCTGTCTTGAAGCCATGTTGGGCCATCTCGAACGCTATTGGGCGGTCTTGGGCTCTCTTGGAGCGCTTCGGGCCGTCTTGGAGCCCTCTTGGACGTCCCTTGGGCCCTCTCGTTGTCACTCTTCCCTTCTTTTGACGCGTGTTGACGCTCCCCGACGGGTCCGAAACGGCTGTAAGTCAGTACTCCCCGTGGCCAGGCAATGCAACAGGGCTATATATATGTATGCCTATATATATATATATAAACATTTTTTCAGAAAAAAATAGAAAGAGAAGCCGTGCACGTCAGAGGTGCGTTAGCAAAAGAGGGTGACACGACAGTGTCTACAAATGGGCCGCTCGCACTGCGCCGTGGCGATGCGCAGCAAACCTGTGAGATATCCCGCGCGGAGTGACATAACAATGAGAATGCGACCGGCACTGCGAAACCTCCGGCGTCGCCGGCTCCAAGCACAGGTAGAATGTTACAAGTCTTGTCATCCGCCAAAACAACACCCAGGCACAAAGAGGATGTGGATAAGGACGAGCAAGAAAACGAGAAGGGCGTGGAGAAGGAGGAAGAGGAGTAGGAGGAGGCAGAGGCGGAGGGTTGAGGAGGTCTGAGGAGGATGAGGAGGACGAGGGCGAGGACGAGGAGGATGGGGAGGAGGAGACGGAGCAGGATGAGTAAGAGGATGATGCCACGATCCAATTCGATCCAACTTCACCCAGCAGCCATCAGGAGGAAGAGGAGGAACAGGAGGAAAAGCTGGGGTATCTTCCCCTTTCCCCACCCTCTCTGGAACAGTGGGGCCCTGGCGTGGGAGAGGAGCAGCAGGGGGAGGAGTCGCAGAGACCGCTGCTGCTGCCGCCTGCGGGGCCGCTGGCCTGGCCGACGGCCTGCAGCCTGTGCTGGGCCAGCGGCTCGGGAGCGGGTGGCCCGCTCCGTCCTTGTTCCTCCCCCCTCCTCCATGTGCATGCGTGTGTACTCTTCGGGATCCTCCCTAGGGATGGGTACTCCAAGTTTCTTCATAGGCGTCGGGGGGGCGTCACCCCCGCCGACAGCCCCGCATCGACCCCCGCCGCGGGCAGCCACCGCGCGCCGAAGGCGCTCCGACCCCCGTCGCGGCGCGACGACGAGGCGAGGTTGACCCCCGTCGGAGGGGTACCCCCCCCACGCTTATAAAGACCACCCAGAGTAGGAGGAGGAGGAGGAGGAGGAGGAGGAGGAGGAGGAGGAGGAGGAGGAGGAGGAGGAGGAGAGAGGAGGAGGAGAGGAGGAGGAGGAGGAGGAGGAGGAGCATGATGAGGCGCCAGCCCGCCTCCGCACGCGCCCCGCGCGCGCAGCGCGCAGGCTGCCGTCCGCCAGTATGTGGCGCAGCGCCACGGCCGGCCAGAGGCCCGCCCGGCGCGGCTCCCCGGCTGCCCTGGGGGAGGAGGCCAGGGGGAGCGTTGGGGTGGGGGAGACGCAGGAGATTCTTGGACCAGGTTGGAGGTTTTTTCGGCTGGAGGCGGGAGGTCGCTGGACGGTATCGCCGGCGCTCGGCGGGCTTTCCCTCGGGATGCTGGAGCTGCGCCTCGCCGAGAGCGCTCCGGGGGTGCCCGGGTCGTCTCGGACGGCCGCTGGAGGCCCGAGCTCCGCCCGAGCTCCGCTCTGAGGGGAAAAAAACATACACAGACACAATTAATCGGCGATCCCCGGGAAAATATGGGAAAATGTGGGAAGTGGGGGGGAAGACGAAAACCCAGAAAATATAGGAAAATATGGGGAATCTTTACTGAAGACCATCTCGATCAGGGGCGCCGACACGGGGGGAATTGGGAAAGTGCGCCAGTGGATCTCCCTGAATACACTAAAGAGGGGTGGGGGGTGTTCCAGAACCCCCCTCCCCCCCTCCCCCTTCAAGGGGGGGTGGGGGGCCTCCCCCCCTTCAAAAGGTGGGAGTCCGAACCCCCGACCCCCTCCCCCCTCAAGGGGGGGGGGTCCCGACTCCTCCCTCCCCCTCCCTTGAAGGGGGGGGGGGCGGTCCGGACCCCTCCCCCCCCCTCCCCCCCTTGGCGCTGGAAAGGGGGGGGGGTTCGGACCCCCCCTCCCCCTCGTGTAGGGAGTACGGAGTTGGGAGTAGGGAGTGGTGAGTCGTGAGTAGTGAGTTAGTGCGTAGTGAGTAGTGAGTATTGGGTAGTGAGTAGTAGTGAGTAGTGAGTATGAGTAGTGGGTAGTGATTGGCGAGTAGGGAGTAGGGAGTAGGGAGTGGGGAGTAGTGAGTAGTGAATAGTGAGTAATTAGTGTGTACTGATAAGTGAGTAGTGAGTGGCGAGTAGTGAGTTGTGAGTAGTGAGTAGCGAGTAGCGAATAGTGAGTATTGAGTAGGGAGTAGGGAGTAATGAGTACTGGGTAGTGAGTAGTGGGTAGTGAGTAATGGGTGGCGAGTAGTGGTTAGTGAGTAGTGAGTTGTGGGTGGTGCGTAGTGCGTAGTGAGTAGTGAGTTTTGAGTAGTGAGTAGTGAGTAGTGAGTAGTGAGTAGCAAGTAGTGGGTAGTGAGTAGTGAATAGTGAGTTGTGAGTAGTGAGGACTGAGTAGTACGTAGTGCGTAGTGAGTAGTGAGTAGTGAGTAGTGATGAACAGTGAATAGAAAGTAGTGGGTAGTGGCAGTGGGTAGTGAGTAGCGAGTAGTGAGTAGTGAGTAGTGAGTAGAGTGCAGTCAGTAGTGAGTAGTGGGTAGTGATTAGTGAGTAACGAGTAGGGAGTAGCGAGTAGTGAGTAATGAGTAGTGAGTGCTGAGTAGTGAGCAGTGAGCAGTAGGGAGTACGGAGTAGGGAGTAGTGAGCAGTGAGTAGTAACAAGTGGGTAGCGAATAGTGGGTAGTGAGTAGCGATTGGTGAGTAGTGGGTAGTGAGAAGTGACTAGTGACTAGTGACTAGTGAGTTGTGACTAGTGACTAGAGACTATGTAGTCACTGGTGAGTAGGGAGTAATAATTAGTGAGTAGTGAAGAGTGAGTCGCGGGGAGTTAGTAGTGAGTATTGAGTAGCGAGTATGGGAGTAGCGAGTAGCGAGTACTGAGTACTGTGCAGTCAGTATTGTGTAGCGAGCAGGGAGTAGCGAGTAGCAAGTAGTGGGTAGTGAGTAGTGATTTGTGCGCAATGAGTAGTTAGTAGGGAGTAGTGAGTAGTGGATATTGGGTCGTGGCCAATGAGTTGTGATTATTGAGTAGTGAAGAGGGAGTAGTGAGTAGTGCTTAGTGAGTAGTGAGTATTGAGTAGTGGGTAGTGAGGAGTGAGTAGTGAGTAGGGAGGAGGGAGTAGTGAGTAGGGAGTAGTGAGTAGCGAGTAGTGGGTGGTGGGTAGTGAGTAGTGGATAGTGAGTAGTGAGTCGTCAGTAGCGAATAGCGAGTAGTCAGTGGGGGGTAGTGAGTAGGGGGCTGGGGTAGTGGGGGTAGGGGGCCCCTCGTGACTCCCTTTGGGGCTGGGGTTAGTGGTTAGGGTTCGGATTCGGGGTTTGGGTTCGGATGAGGACTAGGGGTAGGGGTGGCAGGGGTCGGGTTCCGGCGTCAGGGGGCGGCGTGGCGAAAGGGGGGGAGGGGGGGGGGTCCCCGACGACGGGTCGTAGAAAGGGGGGGAGGAGGGGGGAGGGGTTCCCCGACGACGGATCGGGGAAGGGGGGGAGGGGGGGGGGTTGCCCGACGACGGATCGGGGAAGGGGGGGGGGTGGTTCCTAACCCCCCCCCCTTTGGGGAGATCCAGCGGCGCACCCTCGGGAATTGGCCCAGGGGGGATGCATCGACCCCACGTCGCCCACTCATCGCCGACAGATACCTGATAGCCCGCCCCGTCCAGGACCGCGCGATTCCGCCCTTGGTGGCCCATCGATGGAGGGTCGGGGGCAATCGGCGTGGGTTGTCCAGCCCCATGGTGCTTCCCAGCAACTGCGCCTCGCCTGGAGCGTTCGGGTCTTGCCATGGTCGTCCCGAACGGCCCGCCGGAGGCCCAAGTTCGAGCCCGAAAGCCACCAGGCGTTCAAGAGGGGGTGGTGAGTGGGAGGGGTGGGCGTCAGGGCTGGGGCCAGAATATCTCCATGCACTTCGTGGCCATGCACCTCTGTTTCTTTCAACGCATTCCCTGGCCCCCCTTCCTCCGCGCACACACCTCGGGCCACTCTTTGCGAAGCGTTCCCTCTCCGAAGTTTTGGACGGGGGCGATCCCCGTGCCCGAACTCCTCGCCAGATATTCTTTCTCTCTTCCGCTGCAGCCTGGCCCCCATGGGTTCCTCGGCGCGCCCCGAAAGT